GAGTATTTGATTGGAAATACTGATAGAGTTATTGGGAGTTGGTTGTAGATTTGAAGATGTCTTGAAAAAGTCCAAAATTGATTAGGATCCTAATTCCATTTGTTGACAGCTTTCAACACATATTTCATCTCGAACATTCCATTATTATTTTTACCTATTGTAATAGGATTTCACCATGTATTAGTCTTTTATTTGTATTATATTCTGTTAGTGTGTGAGGAATTTTTTAATTATAAATATGTGGTCTACAACACATATTGAGATTGATTAATTGTTTAATTAGTTATTGGTACAAAGAGATTTTTTGTAACTCCTTACTATTGATTATAGTGAATTATTCGTCGCTGTCTGTGATTTTTCTCGAATTTGGGTTTCCACGTAAATTTCATTTTTTTAATTCATTATTTTCATATTGTTCATATTATTCTCGTCCTTATTAATTGGCCCGGTTTTCAACAAATTGGTATCAAAACAATTCTAGTTTCTTATTTATTTCTAACAAATCCATTTCAACCAAGGGATGGATCATGGAATCTAATCTAGATACTTGACCAAATTGATATCAGAACGATTCTGATATCTTATTTGTTTCTGAAAAATCCATTTCATGCAGGGATGGATCATGGCATCTAATCTAGTACGAGTATCGCTCACCAAACTAAGAATAAAATTTTGAAATAAGATATTAAACAAGAAATTGAAAATGTCACCAGATTTGTTCCTAATAAATTTGGAATATGATCTTCGAAACCTTTTTCAGCATTGCCTTCTACTCATTATTAGATTATTGGAAGATTCCATGTGTGTATTTTTTTAGCAGCCACAATAGACCAAATTAATCTAATCGTTCTCACTTGATCTACAAAGATAGCATTACTTTAGGGAATATTAGTTTCTTTTATCTACTCAAAATATGTCTCAACGACCTAAAAGATTAGTTCCTCAATTTCTTTTCAAATGAATAACAATGAGAATATGTTTATTTGTTTGATATAAATAGACACGAAATCTAAAATTAATCTCCAATATGTTTTATGGATTGCTATTTACGTGCCTGTTATTTTCTTACGATAAAGATAAAACCACATCAGAATTTGGATAGAAAATATAAATTTTGATGGATCACTGTGTTTAACAGAGCATTGGAATCTAGTCTGCCCTCTAAAAATTTCTCTACTACATCAGTTTGATGGAGTCCCTTTTAGCTTCCATTGGACCATCGTCGATTTTTGTTAAGGGATAAATCTCACATTGATAAAACATAACATATACTGACGTATAAGGGTTTGAGATACACCTCTTAATAAGATTGACCTTTTAAGATTGAATAACAAGTCTTAATATAATATCATAACCCATTAAACTCTATCGAGCAATTCGACTTGATTGAGTCTAAAAAAATGAGCATGCAGATTTAAGATTGTTTCGGTAAAACGAATCACCATTTTGTGAGGCATGTTGATATATAAATCCCTCATCGAATAAAGATGAAAATATAAGCCAATTTATTAGGGTTTGGACTACTCTTCTTACTAAGGTTGACCATTTAAGATGAAAATTTAAGTCTTAATATTTTTTGCAACGTGGCACAATTTTTTAAGCAATCCACGATTGTATTGTAGATGTTCTAAACCTCTAAAAGTCCTGTTGGAGATAATGCACATTTTCGATTCCAAAAAATGGAATGGAATTACATAAGGAAAGATTGCTGGCTGAAATTAAAAAAAAATAAAATAAATAATAATAATAAATAAAACAATATTTACCTTTATTATGCATTCAATCAATCCGTGTTTCCAAAAATGGATTAAAAATCCATAATGAAATATTGCTGGCTGAAATATAGAAACGATATTTACCATAATCGTTGTGCATTCAATAAATCTGTGTTCTCATAAATGGAATGGAATTACCCCCTGTTTGACAATCATTTAAATTTTCACAATTCTTTTTTTTTCAAACTCATTTTCAACTACTCGTTCATACAATAAAATATTTTTCGCATAAATCAATTTTCTTTTCAACTTTTTAACCACACATTCTAAAAAAAAAAAACCACCTTTCCAAAACTTTCCAGGATTGGAGCCTAGAATTGATTGCATCTAGGGTTTTAGCACTGACCCGAGTACCCGAGCACTCCGTAATTCTTGGAACTCTCCTCTTCTGATTCATCCTTGCCAGAATATTCTGAGTTGAAAAGTTTGACGGAAAAATGAAGCAGCGGTCCCTAACCTTTCACATTTTTTGCAGATTTTACCATAACCTTCAATTTGTGCCTACTAACATCCATAATCTTTCAAAAGTATGCAGCAAAGTTCCAAATGAACGGTTTCCATCTAATGAGAGTTAGTTGACCAAGAAAACGAATTTTGACCAAAGTAAAAAGGGTAAAATTGTAACTTGATAATTACCATAGTAAAATAAATGAACCAAAAAACCAGAAAATAAAAATAAAAAAATCAGGAAATATATAAAAGAAGAGGTTGTCTTCTTCAGCTGCCCCACTCCAATCCCAACCTGCCCCACCTCGCCACACCCTCTTTCACCTTGTAGAATATGTTTTTGCATTTAGATCTAAAATTAGTCCCCTAGATCCACTCAAAATCTGTAATTTCATCCCTAAATATAAAATTCTCCATTTTTTATTGGGAATTTTCATTTTTAGATTTAAATTGTTGTAATGTTCATCGGCAGGAAGAAGTGGTGATGATGATGTTATTGATAACGGACTTTCTTCCCAAATCTAAACTTACTTCATTATTTTATTCCTCCATTTTCAAATCTAAATTGTTGTGATATCCGAAGGCAAAAGTGTTTGTCGTTGAGAAATTGATAAATGTTGTTGGCATGATGGTTGTAGCTTATAGCAGCTTTTGGTGGTAGTGTTGATGGGAGGTGGATGGAGACGGTGTTGCTCGTACACCCCCCGTCGAGATATTTGTGTTACAAAATCGGCCCCATCACTACCATTGTCGCCGCCACACCTCCAACATGAGGAAAAACTATTTTTTTAAGAAGAGGAAAGCTGATAATAATGAGGGAAAACCGCGGCCCTCTTATAAGTTGATGAATCTCAAAAGAAGACAGTTGATAATCATGGTCGAGGATGTGGCAAGTTGGGGTAGGTTGGGGTTGGAGTTGGTAGCTGAAAAAGACAACCCCCTTTTTTTATGGATCTTACTTGGTGTACATAATTTTTGTACGTAAGGGTGTCAATTCCCTATCATGGGGTGGAACACTTTTTTATGTACACTAAGCATAATTCTTTTTTTATTTCCTGATTTTTTTTTTTGGTTCATTTATTGAATATGGTAATTATCTAGTTACAATTTAATTCTTTTAATTTGGTCAAATTCATTTTTCTGGTCTCAAATGGATAGGAACTGTCCATTTGGACTTCTGCTACATATTTTTGAAAGGTTATGGACTCTCGCTGACACAAATTAAATGTTAGGGTAAAGCCTTCAAAAAAAGTGAAACGTTGGGACTGCTACTACAAGTTTTCCAAAGTTCGAGGCCTTGAAGACTTTGTGAACTACTTATCTTGGTCACTCTCTGAGTGTTCAAAAAACAATCGCTTGAAGTAATGAAAAATCAATCAAGTGGCAAATTCAACCTACACTCGACAGCGGGACCAAAAATTTGAACTTGGAATAGTTAAATTTGATGGCTTCGGAGTCTCGAACATATAGATTGATGAAATGAAAATTCAGAAATGCAGAAGCGGATTAGGGTTTTATAGAGGGAAATTTTGGTAGACAATTGTCGTAGATCTGACAGGAAACGTGGTGGGTATTGCTTGGCGTTGAAGTTTTCTATTTTATTTATTTTTTAATTGTTGTGACGATTCTGGTTGTGATGGGAAGATGTGGTGATGGGAATAGGGTAGTGGAAGGGAGGAGAATTCTTTTTTCAATTTTATTTCTAATTTTTTAATAATTTATTTGAGACTCATTTTCACTTTTCTTAAAAATTTGGGACTATAGTTATAATTAGTTTTTTATTTTTTTTTCCTTCTCCTTTTTGTTTTATTTAAATAGAGAGAATATTCATCATTTTATAACTTTTTATTGTAAAATAGATGATAGGATAAAACACAGTCGAATTTTCATATATGGATATTTTGTCTCCAATTCCAAAAGACGGAAGATTTTGCACAACCAATCTTAATGATAGGAGGTAGTTCGTCCTTCAAACTTTAACAATACATGTTAATCAGCTTTGTTGACAAGACAATCCAGTGTCGAGGTCTAGTCTTTTGGTAATAATTACTGGACATGCCATCCTAAGTAACTAGGAAAAGCACCCAAGTGATCCAACTTCCTGTGTAACGTCACTGCTTATTGTAGTGATTGGGGGGTTTTTTTAACTCACCGAAACCTTATATATCCCATATTAGGTGGTGGTGATTAAAATCATACATTTAGTAAATTTTGATAAAAATGTGTAGTTGATAAGTTGTGAATTCTATAAAATAAATAGTTATAATTAATTGTTAACCGTCTTAAATTAAAAACCAAAACGAGGTTATCACATTTTTAATCCTTGCTGACCAGACTTGAAAAACTAATTTAGTTCGAAATACTTAACCAAAAATATTACGCAATCAATTCATGAACGGAAACTCCACGTTTTATATTCAAGTGAGTTTGACAGTAAGGTGAGGAAACTATAAATTTAGTGGATTGGTGAGAACGAAATGCATTTGCTTATTTTTAATTTAATTCAATGCAATAAGATAGAAGAAAAGGCAATACCATCATACTTAAATAATTTTTTTTTTAATTTCTAATTCTTTAATAATTTATTTGGGACTCGGTTTCACTTTTCTTAAAAATTTGGGACTATAGATATAATTAAATTTTTAATTTTTTCTTCTCTTTTTGTTTTATTTAAATAGAGGACATATTCATCATTTTATAACTTTTTTATTATAAAATAGATGATAGGATAAAACACAATCGAAGTTTCATATATGGATATTTTGTCTCCAATTCCAAATGACGGAAGATTTTGCACAATCAATCTTAAAGATAGGAGGTAATGCGTCATTCAAACTTTAAACGACAAGAAATGTTAATTTAAACAACTGACCAGCTTTGTTGACAAGACAGCCTAGGGTCGAGGTCTAGTCTATTGGTAATAATTACTTGACATGCCAGAAAGGGAGATGCTACATGTACTACATGGGGGTACAAAATGGGGCCCTCCAATACATGGCGGCCACTTGGCCATGTAGTAACCCATTTTGTACCCCATGTAGCATCTCCCTTCCATATTTGGTGGTGGTGATTAAAATCATACATTTAGTAAATTTTGATAAAGATGTTGCATTAAATGTGTAGTTGAAAAGTTGTGAATCCCATAAAATAAATTGTCTTAAATTAAAATCCGAAACCAGGTTATCACATTTTTAATCCATGCTGGCCAGACTTGAAAAACTAATTTACTTTGAAATACTTCAACCAAAAATATTATGCAATCTATTCATGAATGTAAACTCCACGTGTTTATATTCAAGTGAGTTTGACAGTACGGTGAGGAAAATATAAATTTAGTGGATTGGTGAGAAGGTAACGCATTTGCTTATTATTAATTTAATTCAATGCAATAAGATAGAAGGCAACAATGAGAAAATTCATTGGCTGTGGAAAGGGATGAAAACGCGGGGTTACCACATGTTTAATCCATGCAGGCCATACTTGAAAGGCTAATGTTATTTTGAATTACTTTAAAAGAAATATTATTCAATGTAGTCATGCACCTAAACTCCACTTGTTTATATTCTAGCGAGTAGGACTATTTGGTGATAAAAATAGTTTATAATTTAAGGAAAGTACGTAAGGAAAATGGGCTCCATTTTAGAAAAAATAATTTTTTCTTCCTTCTTAAAATTACAATTAAACTCAAAAAGATTTTTTTTTAATGACATATTTTCAAAAAAAAAAAAAAAATCACTATTTCAAAATATAATTTTTCNATTTTCAAAAAAAAAAAAAAAATCACTATTTCAAAATATAATTTTTCCAAAATCTATTTATAATAGAGCCCAAATAGGGGCAAATATTTATGAATTCGTTAGAAGATTGTTGTAAAATAAATTTGATTTGGACTATTTTAATATTTTGATCTTTGACTTGATAACTGTTGTAAAATAAATTTGATTTGGACTATTTTAATATTTTGATTTGACAATTATTATAATTAAATGGTCCATAGGTCTATATCTAGGATAGTTCACATTCCAGAATAAGCCATGCTCTAAAATAATATACTATTTAAAATTATCTTGTATTAGATAGTATTTAGTAGATGTTACAAAGTAGAGTTAAAAGATGTTGGATTTTGTGACCCAGACTAGGTTGAAATTTTTGGGAATATATATTTCATTATTTGCACGCATTTGAAAAATATTATTTCCTTTATTTCACGTGTTTTATTGGGAAAATATTATTTTCTTTATTTCACGTGATTTTTTTTTTCTTGTTTCCATCTAAGGTTTGGACATCTTTCATATACATAGTAGATTCTTCATTCAGTTTTTGTGAGCATAAATTGTTGAAATTGTATTTTCTCTCCATTGGTTGTTTAATAAAATATCGGTTCCTCTACCAATTTTTTCTTTACTTTACTTTAAATCTTGTTTTTGTTTGGTGAGCGATCAATACATCATATTGCTCCATTAATCTCTTTCGATTTTTCACAACACGTGGGTTCAAAGGGTCTCAACAAATGATATCAGAGCTACGAGTTGTTGAATTTATTTGAGATTTCTAGTTTCGATGGCTGCCTGAAGTATGACATTCCGCTTTTGGATCGCAATACAAGCTTTTCTAGTAAATATGAAAGAAATTCTGGCATTGATGAATTTGGACGATGCTTTGTTGGGTTTTGATAAAATGCCAACAACTTGGACAACATAGGAGAAGCAACGGAAAGATCGGAAGGCCCTGTTTTTGATTTATCTTCATCTTTCTAACAACATTCCTCAGGATGTGGTTAAGGAGAAATCAGTTGCTGCATTGTCATAAAAACTGGAGGAATTGTGCATGACGAAGACATTGACAAGTAAGTTGCATATGAAGCAGAGGCTTTATTCTCATCGAATTGTAGAAGAGAGTTCTTTGGAGGACCATCGGCCATGTTTAAGGAAATCGTCGCTGATCTGGAAACGTTAGAAGTCAAGTATGATGATGAGGATCTGGCCTTGATCCTGTTGTGCTCACTGCGTATTCATCGTTCAGTAACACGATCTTGTATTGTCGTGACACACTCACCATTGACAATGCTTATGACGTTTTATTTTCAAAGGAGAAGAATAAGCATATCGTTGGAGCTAAGGATGAGGAAGCTTTGGTTTCGTACAGTGATCGACGGAGGGGTAGGTCGAGGGTGAACTTCAGCAATCATGTTTGCTTCTACTGTAGGAGAAAAAGATACATAAAAAAGGATTGCGACAAGTTGCATGTAAAGGTAATTTATCTGCAAATCATGGGAGGCAATCTGATCATTCGGACGAGACTAATATTGTTGAGAGATTTTTGGATGGCGAAGATGTGGTGCTAGCTGTATCTAATATGGAATCTAAACTGGATGAGGAGCGGATTCTGGATTCAGCTTGTTCGTTCCATATGTGCCCCAAAAGGGCCTGATTTAAAACATATGAAACGGTGAAATAAGGTGGTGTTGTCATGTGAAACAACCAATCTCGTAGGGCTGCTAGAATCGATCGGGTCAGATTGAGGTTATTGGATGGGACAGTCTGAGTTCTTGGCCCGGTTCGACATATTCTAGACTTAAGGAAGAATCTAATCTCGATAATTACCCTGGATTGTAATAGGTACACATTCTCCAGTGGAGGTGGAGTCTTGCAGGTCCAAAGGGGTCATCGTGTTGTGTTGGAAGGATGGAAGGGTTCTCAACTGTATATCCTACAGGGGCGCGCAGAACCAGTGAAGAGACATATTGACAAGTTTAGTACCGTGGAAGAGATCCAGTTCGGCACAGTACCTTTCGAGTTGGGCTATGAGTCATTTGCCAGGGGAGGACTCATGGAGCATAGGTACCGGGTTTCATATGTGTGTAATCATGCTTTCGGGGTGTTTGAAGGTAACAATTCTAGCAAGGGGCCTTTAGTTCAAACATTTGGTATGTATTCTACTACAGGGTATGCTTCGACCTTGTTTGGTATTTATTGAATCATTTGTTGGAATTTTGGGAACCCGAGGTTGGGTTCGGGTGTCGCTTGTGGACACTGGGCATATGTCATGATTTTCGTGAGATGTAGAGTTTTGGTACTGAATGAAGAAATTGGTTTACTCTGATGCAATCAGGCTTATTTTTCCAGGTGGAGAAATTTTGGAATTTCGTTGCACCGGAATTTGAATCGAAGTTGAGATTGTTTGATTTTGTGAACCAAATTAGGTTGAAATTTTTGAGAATATATTTTTCCTTATTTACATGTATTTGAAAAAATATTATTTCATTTATTTCATGTATTTTATTGGAAAAATATTGAAAAAATATTGTTTCTTTTATTTCACGTGATTTAGTTTTATCTTGTTTCCATCTTGAGTTTGTACATCTTCCCTATAAATAGTAGACTCTTCATTCACTTTTTGTGAGCAAAAATTGCTGAAATTGTATTTTCTCTCCATTGATTGTTTAATAAAATATCGGTTCTTCTGTCAATTTTTTCTTTTCCGTACTTTAAATCTTGCTCTTGTTTGGTAAGCGATCAATACTTCATATTGCTCCATTAATCTCTTTCGATTTTTCACAACACGTAGATTCAAAGGATCCCAACAAGAAAGATGCATTTATTTTGTTAAGTAAAACAGTTCCTTGAACACTATAAATTGAGACTCGCTTGTCATTTGTAACAAACCAATTTAGAGATTCAATACAAAGTTCCTTCTCCAGCATTTTTAACCTCTCAAAGATTCTCCTAAACGTGCTATCCAAATAAGTCCTTCTAACAAAGATAGCGTATTTGCTTGTTTTTAATATAATTAAATGGAATAGGATGAAACAAAAAATTAAAAAAAACAAGCAAATTTGGCTACTGTCGAAGGTGACAAGAAAATGGGGTTATCATATTTTCATTCCATGCAGGCGAGACTGGAAAAACTAATGTCACAGAAATTAATTCATAAATCATATCAAATATATAAAGAAACTCAGATCAGATCCAAATGAATACTCAGAGCACTTTTCAATTTTAAACTATCTCGAGTTTGCAAAATGACCATTGTTCAAGCTCCACATATCGTTGCCTTGCACAAAAAAATACACGAAAATCCAGAGTACTTGAATGTCATCATTGAGATGATATCTGTGGAGTAACCCTTTCATACTGCTGCTTCAGAAGGCCGTACCGGCCTTGCTCTCGAAATCTTGAGGCTAAAGCCTTCATTGGGGAAGAAATTGAACCTTGATGATCTTAGTCCACTGCACCTGGCTTTGGGTAATGGACACACCAACACTGTGAGACGACTCGTCAAGCATGATTCGGACCTCATTCGTATCCCAGGGAGGGAAGGGATTACTCTTTTGCATTATGCAGTGGAAAAAGAGGACATTGATCTTTTGATTTATTTTCTTATCGTATGTCCATCCTCAATAAATGACTGGACCGTTCGAGATGAGACTGCTGTGCATATTGCTGTGAGAAACAGCTTCTGAGGTTTTACTTGGTTGGATTTTGAAGACCAATAATATAGTAGTGTTGCGATGGAGAAATGAGGAAGGCAATGTTGGGTTTATTAATTTGTCATGTACCTACATATGTAATTAATTATATATAAGGCTATCTCCGAGTCCAATTAAAGGGATCTAATAAAGAATTAAATTGTTAGGTTTAGGATATCTAAATAAAGTGTGGGCCGAATTATATATGTAAAGACCGGATCCATTAGAGATGTATTTGACTAATATATATGGAAACTATATATAGGGTTATGGTTTCCAATTCATGTGTGATTATCATTTTTAATGCCTTCCCATTAACACAAAAATACAAGAGAAAGAATACTGAAGATGAAGATCTAAAACCACAATCAAGAAAAATGATTGAAAAAAAAAAGAATTAAGAAGAAGGATTTGAGTAGTTAAATCAAAAAACAAGACAATCAAGACGATGGTTCAGGAAGCAAAACCAAGATCAAGAGTTCAAGAATTAAAAGAGTCAATCTTCAAGATCCAAAATCAAGATCCGGTATTAAAGAATTATTCCTAAACAATTAAGGTATGTGTCGCATTATTAATTTTCTTGATAATTTGACATAGAGGATCTTGGTAATTAAGAAATTATGTTTTCTTGTTTTTTATAAATTTTGAAGTTTCGCAAAATTTCAACTAGTAGTATCAGAACCAACTCCATTTTAAACTATGGAAATTCAAGTAAGAATTTTAGAATTGAAATTCATACGTTGGATTTCCAAATTTTGGAGTGTGAATTTTAACCATAAATTTTAAAAATTAAGATTTTTTTTCCTGGAATTTTAACTAAGAATTTTTTGGAGTTAATATTTGTAAGTCAGGGATTTGTTTGCAAATAATTAAGTATTAAATAGAATGGGATGAATGAAATTTTTTGGAGTTCCAATGCCGCTTCCTACTTTTCCTCCTCGCCGACTCGAATCGTGATTTGTGTAGGTTCATTCCTCAATTAGGTAAGTAATTATTTCAATTTTCAGCTATGAAAATTTCTGTTTTGTATTTCTAAATTATTATACATGATAGATTGCGTTTAGTTTGGTTTCCTCGTGTTAATTGAATTCAAAATTTATGGTATTCAAATATTGTAATCTTAATCATGTAACCTTTTTTCCCTTTTTATTTTGTTGTTTTACTTGGTGTTTTTAGTTGGGATTCAATTTTAGAGCACGTTTGGCTAGGGCAAAAAAAAAAAAAAAAAATTATAAAGGGATAATCAATTTCCAATATTGGTACTTAATATTTTTTTTAGATTACTAATTTTCTAAAATCGATTACTTGAAGCAATATGTTACCAAAGTAATCTCTCTTACTAAATTAATTTACTTGGAATATTAGAAAAGTTGTGTGTACGTAATTCATACGAATATTCACCGATCCAAAGGAATGTCAATATTTGGCTAAATTATTTATACACCCGTGATAATAAATATGTGACAATTATAAAAATTCTCATTGTGTGAACATTGAATTGGTCCAAAGATAGATTTGATGTTTGACGAGATTTATTATCAATATTTGATTAATACACTAAGAGTACCACTTATAAGTTGATATTTATGTCCAAAAACTAAATGTTAATGTTATGCCCAGTCTCTTGTAATGGGGTTCACCATTATTTGAATTATTAATTGTCCAATATGGATTCTCATGTGAACATATGAGTTAAGTTTAAGTTCTCTATTCTATTAAGGGAACAATACATAACTAAGATGTTTAGTTTTACCAATTTCAAATTTAAGAACTTGAGTTTAAAATCTCAAATTTCAGATTTTTTAAAAATTTATTTATAAATTAATTAATTAAACATATATTTTATTAATTAAATATATTAAGATCACAATTCTATATAATTGGTCACATAATATTAATTTGTCACAAATCATACAAATTTTACATGTCACAATTTATTTTACGGTCACGATTCAAAAAATTTATAGGTTACAATTTGTTCATCGGTCATAGATAAAAAATTGAAACTGTAACGTCACAAATTATTTTACGGTCACACTTCAAAAATTTTATATGTCACAATTTGTACATCAGTCACAAATCAAAAATTTAATAAGTCATAAATTATTTTATGGTCACAAATCAGAAATTTTATAGGTCACAATTCAGAAATTTTATAAGTAACAATTTGTTCATCGATCACAAATAAAAAAAAATTATGTCACAACTTATTCATCGGTCACAAATCACAAATATTATAAGTTACGACTCAGTACACAGTCACAAATTTTCAAATTATCGATCATAAATTAACAATTTTTTAAATCACACATTATTTCTTGGTCACAATTTATATTTTTTCTTTGGTCATAGATTAACCAATTTAATGGCCACATCAACCAAATAATCTGTGACCATAATTAATACTTGTGACTACCACCTCACCACTCCCTCCAACAACATTGTCGCCACCGTCGCCGCCAAAACCACCACCACCACCTCTCGACTACCACTTTCAAATACAAAATTGTCACTGTACGCGAGATCCATCACCACTAAATCCAACAAAAATACCCCAACCACCAGATCTAATAGCGTCGTCGACGAAACAAAAACCTCAGCCTCTGCCAGATCTAACAAAACCACCACAACCGCCACCAAACATCACCAACAAATCAGATCCAAAATCCCGAGCATCTTTCACCACCCCTAGCAACCTACACGACCTTGAGCATCGCACTCCACCAACACCACCACATCAAAAACAAACACAAAATCTATGTAATACCACCACAAAAATGCTGTCAACGGCATTAGATCCACCACCACACCACCTCACCAATGGCCAGAATGCACCACCATCACCCCCAACAAAAAACACCAGGTGCCAACATCTCTGTTTGTAGCATAGGCCGTTCGCACACCGCACACCACAAGTCTTGCCTCCCTTTCTCTTATCTCTCGATTTTCTTCCTCACACATGAAAATCGCCACCAAAAATTGTAAATGCCGACGAGTGGTCGCCACAAATTTGCTTATAATATCGTGGCAACGGTCGATCGTTTCAATATTGACAACAACCCATAGTTTTCCATTTGTATTTTTGCCATGGCTGCTCCTATAGTCGTGGGTGATAGATAGAGAGAGGTGAGAGAAGAGTAGTTTAGAGAGAGAAAGGAGGAAGAAATATAATTAGGGTTTGGAATTGAAAATGTAGGATAGATTATTAATAATATTGCCATTAATATTAAAAGTTTGAATTAATATATAATTTTTATATAAATAAACTTTAAGTCTGATTTTTGAATTGTAATCTTTAGAATTCCGGTTTAATGTAATTTCCTCTTCTATTAATCCATCAATTTCTACAATGTATTAGGACATCTAAATAAAGTATGGCTGGATTAGAGATCGAATCCATTAGAGTTGTATTTGATGTTGGGCCAAATACATATGGAAACTATATAAAAGGTTATGGTTTCCAATTCATATGTGATTCTCATTTTGTGTCTTCCCATCAACACAAGAATACAAAAGAAAGTATACTGAAAATGAAGATCCAAAACTCATAATCAAGAAAATGATTTAAAAAAAAAAAACAAAAATCAAGAAGAAGGATTGTAGCAATTAAATCAAAGAACAAGACAATCAAGACATACATCAGGAAGTAAAATCAAGATCAAGAATTCAATAATCAAAAGAGCCAATCTTCAAGATTCAAGATCCGAAATCAAGATCCAGTATTAAAGAATTATTTCCAAATAATTAATATATGTTCCGCATTATTAATTTTTTTGATAATTTGACAAATAGGATATTGATAATAAAGTAATTATGTTTTCAAGTTTTAAGGTTTAAAGTTTTATAAAATTTCAAGAGGCAATACCGTGATGCATCTTGAAGCATTAACAAACCAATCGAAGGTATATTCCTTTGACTAAACTTCCATTTAATTGAATGAATTCCCCAAAAGCTCCTTTAAATATTTTCCATCAATAAATAATTCTTTTTTAAAACTTGAAGCTGAACCCGAACCCACTGTCAGGAAACACGACAGGGTTCTTGTAAGGCTTGTCCAAACTGTTGACATTGTTGACCCTAGAAATCCCAAGAACGTAAAGCAAAGAACAAAAAGTTTTTATCTAGGAGACTAGGACCTAGTTTTAAGGCCTCTTTTATGTAAGATTTTTTAGATTAAATTTTATGGAAAATGATATTTTTGAAGAATTTATGATTAAAAAATAAGAAAAATTCATAGGCTCACCTACAAAATTATTTTATAGTGAGAATCTTTAGTTGAAAATTAATTTGGAGGAAAATGAATTTAAAAAATAAAAATCTGTACCAAATAGAAATTCTCCATAAGAGTTTGAGGTCTACTTTGATGGAGTCTCCTATACGATCTTGACTCTATTTAAAGGTTGAGACTACAAATGGATGATTACAACACTTAAACCTAGTGTTGGGTTACTTTTAGAGCCCAAAATTTTCATTGTCAAACAATCAAAATTATTTTGGTATATGGTGAACTTGATAGAATTCTAATTTTGACAGAATACTCACTGAAGATTTGAGAAGTTTATCCAATTTTTCATCATCAAGAGCCTATCTGACAACTATTATTGAAGAAAAAAATTGTAACGACCCGATCTCGCACCGGAGCCGTCATCATATCATACGTACTATCCACTTTGGGAGATTCTAGGCTCATCTTACCCCCATGGATTTCTGATGCATCCCCTAGGATTCGAACACAAGACTTCCATCATATGAGAGATTTAAGTTGAATCCAGACACCAATTGACGCATTTTTTTTGTAACGATCCAAGTCTCTATATCCAAGTCGTTAGCTTCCGTACTGTCCGCTTTGGGTGGGTCTATGCCCACTTCGGGTGGGTCTATGCCCACTTCTCCCTCACGGCTTTCTAACGCGTCCCCCAAGATTTAAACCTAAGACTTTTATCATATGAAAGACTTAAGTTGAATCTTGATACCAATTGGGTTCGAATCCTGGG